ACAAAGAATCAACAAATCTAAGAGCTGTTTCTTTGAAAAGATAAACAAGGTAGACAGGCCCTTAGTCCAGTTAACCAAAAGAAAGGAAGAACAGCTCCAAATCAACAAAATCAGAGATAAAAGGGGAAACATCAAAATAGACAACAAAAAGATCCAGAACATTATTAGGGATTACTTTAAAAACCTATATTCTATTAAATCTGAAAATCTAAAGGAAATGGATATGTATTTAAAATCATGGGAATCATAAAAGCTAAACCAAGAAGAGATCAACAGCTGAAACAGACCTGTAACATATAAGGAAATTGAAACAGTGATACAAAACCTCCGGACTAAAAAAAGCCCAGGCCCAGGTGGATTCACAGCAGAACTCTACCAGACATTTAAAGATCTACATCCAATACTACTTAATTTATTCAAAAAGATAGAAACAGAGAGAGAACTTCTAAACTCCTTCTAAGAAGGAATGAAGCCAGCATTACTCTAATACCAAAACCAGGTAAAGATACAACCAAAAAAGAAAACTACAGATCCATTTACTTAATGAACATAGATGCAAAAATTCTCAACAAAATACTTGCAAACCACATACAGACACACATCAAAAAGATCATCCACCATGACCAAGTTGGCTTTATTCCAGAGATGCAGGGATGGTTCAATATCCATAAGTCAATCAACATCATAAATCATATAAATGGATTCAAAGACAAAAAACACATTGTCATCTCAATAGATATAGAGAAGGCCTTTGACAAAATTCAACATGCATTTATGTTAAAAGTCCTAGAGGGAAATGCACTGGAGGAACATAACATAATTAAAGTAATTAAAGCTATATACCACAAACCCACAGTCACCATCATCTTAAATGGAGAAAAACTAGAAGCATTACCATTAAAATCAGGAACCAGACAAGGCTGTCCACTATCTCCACTCCTTTTTAATATAGTGCTTGAAACTCTTGCTAGAGCAATAAGACAAGAGAAGTAAATTAAAGGAGTGCCAATTGGCAAAGAAGAGGTCAAATATCCCTTTTTGCAGATGATATATTACATCTAAGAGATGCCAAAAATTCCACCAGAAAACTACTAGAAATCATTAACACTTTCAGTAAAGTGGCAGGTTATAAAATTAATCTACAAAAAACAGTAGCCTTTCTATAAACCAATAACAAGCAATTAGAGAAAAAGTACATAAAAACTCTCCCATTCATAATAGCCTCAAAATGAAAAAAATCTTAAAATAAACCTGACCAAAGACATTAAAGGCCTCTACAATGAAATTTTTTTAATTTTTAAAGAAAGAGATTGAGGAAGACACCAGAAGATGGAGGGAACTTCCATGCTCACAGATTGGAAGAATTAATACCGTAAAAATGGTCAAAAGCCATATACAGATTCAATGCAATGCCAACCAAAATCCCTATGACGTTCTTCACAGAATTAGAAAAAAACACCCAGAAATTCATATGGAACCACAAAAGACCCAGGATAGCCAAAGCAGTCGTAAGCACAAAGAGCAATGCTGGGGGGATTACTATACAAGATTTCAAACTATACTACAGAGCTATAGTCATAAAAACAACATGGTACTGACACAAAAATAGACCTGAAGATCAATGGAACATAACTGAAGACCCAAACATGAGTATATGCAATTTCAGCCACCTGACACTTGGCAAAGGGGCCATAAACATTCATTGGAGGAAAGGCAGCATGTTCAACAAATGGTGCTGGCAAAACTGGATCTCCACCTGTAGAACAATGGAACTAAACCCCTATCTTTCACCTTGCACAAAACTCAACTCCAAATGGATCAAAGACCTCAATGTAAAACCTGAAACTCTGAAACTGTTAGAAGAAAACATTGGCAATAACCTACAAGATACAGGTGTTGTAAAGGACTTTCTAAACCAGACAGCAATTGCTCAGGAATTAAGGTCAGTAGTCAATACATGGGACTTCATTAAACTAAAAAGTTTCTGTACAGCAAAAGAAACAACCAAGGAAGGGGACACCCACAGAGTGGGAAAAAATCTTCACCAGTGACACATCTGACATATGTTTAACATTCAGAATATATAAAGAACTCAAAAAACAAAAAAATCAAGAAAGCAAGTAACCCAATTAAAAGATGGGCTAAGGATCTGAACAGAGAATTCTAAAAGAAGAAATAAAGATGACTGAGAAACATCTTAAAAGGTGTTCAATATCATTAGTAATTAGGGAAATGGAAATTAAAACCACCTTAAGATTTCATCTTACCCTAGTCAGACTGGCTAAAATCAAGAGAATAAATGAATCTAAACGTTGGAGAGGATATGGAGAAAGGGCAGCACTTACTGATGGTGGGACTGCAACTGCTATGGAAACTCCTGCAACCACTAAGAAAAACAGTGTGGAAAACTCTTAAAAAACTAAAAATGAACCTACCATTTGATCTAGTTATATCACTCCTTGGCATATACCCAAAGGACTTATCCTACTGCAGAGACACTTGTACATCCATGTTTGTTGCTGCTCTTTTCACAATAGCTAAGACATGGAAGCAACCTAAGTGTCCCTTAAATGATAAGTGGATAATGAAAATGTCATACATTTATACAATGGAGTTCTACTTAGCAGTAAAGAAAGACAAAATCCAGAAATTTTCAGGTAAATGATGGATGGAACTTGAAACTGTTATATTAAATGAACTAACACAGACCCAGAAAAACAAATGATGTATGTTCTCCCTCATATGTGGAGCCTATCACCAAATCCTTATAAGTATCCAAACATAACTAGAGGAATCAGAATAATTCAAAGGAACCAGGAAGGTAAAGGGCAAGAAAGCACGTGAAAGAGAAGAACAGTAGGAGATACGGACAAAAATGGGGGCTATTTAAACGGGAGGGACAAGGGAGGGTTATACCAGAAACATTGGGGATAAAAGGAAAGAAGGAGCTCAAGAGAGGTGGGATCATAGGAGACTGGTATTATCAAGGGAGAAATGGGGAAAATGGAAACACTTTAATTTAGGGAAACCATGGCAGAAGGGCTAGATGGGGAGATGGGGGTGGGGTGACAAATAATACCTAGCAAGTTTTAAAAAACCAGAGGGAATCATATTAGCCCAACAACCTAATGACAAATTACACATACAATATCTCTACATGAGTCCCATGTGTATAGCTGAAGGCTACATAGCAATAAATAGTGCCAGACAGGAGAACCCTTCTGTTGAGTTGTTGGCCAGGGTAGTCCAAGAGACTCCCAAAATCACACAGGCTATTGCTACAGCTCTTGATGGCCTCCCAGAACTTGAAGGTAAGACCCTACTGCCAAAGACAGAGCATACCTCGCTTTGGACACAGGATTTAGAGCAATAGAGCTGCAACTGATCCCCTGAAGGCTGAGTCTCAGTTTTGGAGAGCAATATGAAGGTGCCAAGGGAAAACATCAATTGATGGTCCGACACCAGTTTCAAGACCAAATTACCATATCAATGGCCGGCACAGTGTATGACATTGGTGCAGTAGTAGCACTTTTATCTTGGAGGCAATCAACAACTACCTAATTGGTCTAAAAACCCACTCAGTGGGAGGAAACTCAAGTGTGGCACTGTAAACATAATCAAATACACATGGCTTGAATGGTCATAGATGTTAGAGAAAACCCTAAGACTGTCATACCCCTAGAATAATTTCTTACTGTGTGCAAAATATGTATCCTTATATTTACAGACAAATATCCCAGTCACTACTCATCAAAGAAGCTTATTTTGCACCAGCTGAAGACCATTACCAAGTATAACTGGTCACACACAGACACTGTGAATTGCCCAGACTTAAGCAACACATCTACAATGCAACCTCTACACCTAAGGCACATTGAATATAGAACAGGGGTAAAGAAAAGGACAGCAATGAGTATCTCAGTTCTCATTAATGAAGCTCCCTTATGAAACAGGAATACAAAAGGTCACAAATGGGTAAAATGTAGCAATTAAGAATCTACAGAATGCTGGTTCTTAGACAGGACTCCTATATTAAACTTCACTCACTGAGGGCTCAGGGACTATCATGGAAGAGAGGGTGGAAAGATGGTAAGAACCAGGGAGGAGGTGCATGACCATATGAAAACAGTCCTACAAGCTCCTGGGACCCTGCTCATATAATTATATAGGAAAGGTGTCAGTATACACAAGTCCCATACAAACTCAGGCAAACAAAAATCCAGCATAGAACAGGGGAAATGAACAGCATACCCCAATCTTAGTTGGAGAAATATTGGCAACTGATTACTGCTAGGTGAGGAAGAACTGATCTTCCTAAAACAAGGGACTCTTGATAGGCTGACTAGACCTCAGAGGATGGACTTGCACTGGGGAATGTCTGGAGACACTTGACACAGTGGGCCTTAATGGGGATGAAGGAGTTTATGGGCTCCAGTGGGGGCGGGGCTGTGGAGGGGTGCTGGTGGGGATGGGGAACTCATAATCCTCCTGTCTCTGCCTCACCATTAGTCATGGGACTACAAGCACATGCCAGCAGTGAGTTTGTAAGCAGTATTTTTACTGTGGAATTTGTGACCATTTATAGCCCTTCTCCAAAGAAATGGAAATAACTGTATCTTTCTAAAGGATACATTCTCTCTTGCTTCAGTTTTCCTTTTTTAAAAAATCTTCCTAATGTTAGGGAAATCTCTAGGGTAGTCTAAACATCAGTTTAAGAAAAAAGATTTGCACTGCAGAGCTCTAGAAGTAGAAAGACACCCAAACTGAAGGGAAAAGGATGATAATCTTAATTTTGACTGTTTCTCTTTCCAAAAACAAAACTGAGAAAAAAATTACAAAGTAGGCAAGATTTATGGGGGCAAAAAAATGGAAAACAAAAACGCATTAGCAGATACTAAGTAAAATGTAAAAATAAGAAGAATATACTGTTACACATCCTAGTGATCATTTTTAGTTTTCTTCATGAAATGTCACAAGTTTTACCATTTAAAGAAACATACCGCCAGGAATTCTTTAAGACGGTCTTCGATACTTCCCTTGTGAATTGTAAACAAAGCTGCAGCAATCTGGTTGATGGCTTTGGCCAAACAATGTATATTGTTGCAGTGTCCTGAGAAAGTGCAAACAGGATTATGTAGATTCTGTATGATCCCAAAATATAAAGTAGCACATAGAGGGTAAGTCTACATAAACAGTGGCAAGATGAACAGTAGAGTCAGGGTGCAAACTGATTGTTTTCCTTTTACTTTCGTAAAATATATAGTAAGGAAGCAGTAAATACTCAGGTCAGTTTTATATCATACAAACATATTTTCAAAAGACATGGTACATTAGTTTTACACTATCTTGGAAACTTAAAAGACAAATGCTAAACTGGTTTAAGCACATTTCTTCATTCAGTCCTTGAAATAATTCCATGATTTGGATAATTTCCCACCATCCTCTACGTACTTCTGAGCTCATTCATACACATTTCAACCATCAGAAAACCAGAACTTTAAAAAAGCAGCAGAATGCCACAGGTACTAAGCTACTACATGGCAGAACTTAATCCATATTTTACCAGAAAAGAACATCAATTACTTAAGAAGAAAAGTATATAATATACTAAAACCAATACTCTTTCCCTTGTCAAAACAGTTCTAACCACCAGTACCTTCTATAGCAGGGCTGTACTGAGACATCACATTACTGGCCAGTGTTGGCAAAGAAACTGCTACAAAGACCATGAGGAGGCAGGCGATTTTATATTCTTCTTCTGGACTAATTTTTTCTAAGGAAAA